CCGATGCTCAACGACCAGGTCGGTCGATCTTGATGCTTCGGCCATGCCGTGGGGTAAGAGTAGCGTTTTCGGGGGTTGCTGCGCAAGGGACTGCGACCGGATTCGGAGGGTCCTTGTGCAATGTGGATGCGCCGCGGAATAGTCGAGGTCAGGACAGAACATTACCCGGAATGGACCAGTTGTCTTTTCTTGTATGTCAAACACCGTCATAGCTTCTAGTGGTTGATATCCTCTTGAGGCTTGATTCTCCTGAGTGGCACCTTCCATTTGAGTCTGCAATCGACGCTGCATTCTCATTTGTCGTCTCCTAGCCTGTCTCGAAGGATCCCTTGGTGAATACTCTTGCTGACCACCAGATTGCTGGAGCGATCTACTTTGACTGCCTCCTGCGTGTCGGGTGCGGCCGATCTGTACATTCGTGTAGTTGCGCAGGTGTTGGTCCCTCTGGCCACGTCGTGTTGAAGGCGAACGGCTGATGGGTGCCGATATGGGCATCGGCGGATGTGAGCCCTGGCCGTGAGTTGACCTCCTATCATGTTGGCCTTGTTGAGTCGTAGGAGAGTTCATGTGCTCGTTTGTACTGCCTCTAGCGACAGGTAAGTAGGGTATCGATCCTAGACTGGCAGGCGAGTGATCGGAAGTTATGTTGATAGCCCCGGAATATGGAGAAAGGATGATATTGTGTTGTCGGTTTGTGGGTGTGGTGGAGTAATGAGGCGAGGATGGAATGCTGCCCGCAGAGAATGGCAGGTTTCTTCGGTCCATGGCCTCAGATGTGCGAGAGGATTTCAGACGAAAGGTTGGGTCACAAGGTCTAGCACACTATTAGTCACCACACGTCAACTAGGTGCCGCAGTTCTACGAACCATTGAAGAGACAAGGCTGATGAGCCCGGCCTCGTTCATACCGCTGTTCTTGACAGATCCCGGGTCACTGATGAGGGTTGCAATGCGGGCAAGAAGAGTTTATTGAGGAGGGAGTTGCCGTTCGAGTAAGAAGGGACAGGATACTGGGTTTTAGGGTATGTCGAAAAGAAATGGCCCAACTCAAACTGGGGCCAATCCACCACTGGGTCGGAACCGGAATCTCGCTTTCGTTCGACTAGTGATCTATCTGTCTGCTCATGTAAAACTGATTTGGAAGTTGAAACAAAATACAGCACCGTAGGTGAACAGGCTGTGTAGGAAAAGGCTGTGCTCTGGGTGAAATTTCGACTTGGTCCAAAAGATGAACACAGCCCTGCCTCAAACAACAATTGCAGACCATCATTGTGGTCAGTGGAGGAGCGAAATGCCACTTGCAGGCGAATCTGGATGCGAGCGTCAGTGTCATTATTCTTTCCAACTGTGGGGCTGCTTGAGAATGAAAGGAAGTTGCGGTTCTGGACATCTAATACCCTGAAGGTTCCAACTTGGTAAATGGAACTCTCCTCGTAGTATCGATAATGGATCCATTTGGACGAGGCCCATACCTCCCAGTTTGAACTCACTGAGTTTCAGCCTTGGTGATTGATCGAGGTACATCTGGCTGCTCCTGACTGGCTGGTAATACCGGGTATGGGACTGACGAGGAAGAAGCCGACGACGACGAGAAGGATGATTGGCGCGAGATTGGGCATCTTCACCCAACCAGAGGAGACGGAGCTGCAAGATCAGGAAGGCATACAGAGAGGAAATTCGAGAGCCTGACAAAATACATTCAGGCATTTTCGGATCTTGGAATTGTCAATCTGAATGTGGCAGCGAGCAAGGAAAACGAATTCTTAGGGCAATGCTGTTGATGTGCTGGCATAATGATCGCGAACCAGCGACAATAGAGCAAAATACACAGAATAAGAAGAAGAAGTAGGGCGGGTGAGAGAGAGGGGCGGTCGGGAAGGTGTCGTCCTCAGAGAAGGAGCAAGAGCCAGGCTGGTCACCGAGATTTGCACCCAGAACAGGCACCCAGGACAGATACGTAATGTGGAGGCGGGTTTGGATGTACGGTGATAGGGACGCTGAAGCTGCCAGCGCACCTTCCCAGGTGTGCTGGATGCGCCGGGCACCACTTCAGTCAACCTCGGGCATACAGACTTGCCCTGTCCAGGTGACCTCGTCTGCCCGTTTTGCCATTCCCACATACATACTCAGGCAAACCGTCAGTTGAACAACTTCTTACAATAACCTCGGTTTTCAGTTTGTGTTTCTCTCTCTCCGCCGACTGCCTTATTATTGCAGGGAGCCTTGAGTGGTATGGATGACCTCGCTCTAACCCGCCTCGACTGCACTTCTTCTCCACACTCCCTTTATCAGTCAGGCCTAGTTGATCGATTTTTCATCGGTAAACTAAGTCTGGGTTCCTTTGACTCCCATAAACTTCGTGCAGCCTGAAGGGAGCGTTGACCGCCCCATATCGAACATGCAAATCACACCGCGCCTGCATAACGAAGACTCGTCAGGAGAACCAACTTATTGCACGCAACCTCAGGACAGAGACGGCGGCTGAATCATGTCCAAATTTCTCGATACGGCCACCGAGCACCATTGCCACACCCCTCACATCTTCTTCAAGCGCCGACGTGAGGCAAGCCATCTCTATCATGCAGCAACCCCACACCTCCATCACCGAATCCAGCCGGAATATTTGCTCTTGAGCTGAAGCCACGCTGCACCTCTCCCAGCACGGCGCAAGTTTTGGTGTGAGCATCATTTCTAAAATGCCTCAATGTCTGCATTCCATTGGTAGCCCTAGTGTCGCTCCGCGCACCCCGCGACATCATACTTCCCGTCAGGAGGCCATCGAGATCTTTGCTCGTGAGGCGGGCAATCGAGCGACCAAGCACCTCCATGGCGCCTAGTATTGCCCGTTGATAGTTGCGGCCCTCCAGCTCTCGATATTGGAGAGCCTCGGGTTCGAAGAATGGCACCAGTTGTCAGTTAAAGGTCGCCATGAAACTCGATTCGAAGATTGTCCTCGGGCTCTCCCCCTGTTGGGACATCACATTCTCCAGTCACTTCTTTGCTCCCACATGTCCGGCATGGTCAACTTGAACATCTTGTCCAACAATATTTGCTTTGGTTTTTTCCCTGCTGAAGCGTCACTCTCCACCAAAATTTCTGGCTGTTGTGCAGCATTGTGCAGCTAGAAAGACGCGACGCAATACTCCATGCCTAGTTGCCACCGTTCGCCTCGTTCCGGAGTCGATTGTCCAGTCATTTTTCATATCTTGGCAAAGTCTGTCAGCTATTTGTATTTTGATAGCTTCGGTTGACGCCCAAAGAGTTCGTCACGGGCATCACGCAACGCTGTCTCCAGCCCAATCACTACTGCTACCAGCCATTGTTTCTATTCTGTCATCCTGCCGGTCCTACAATGGCTCCCGACGCCCGTATTGGGTGTCGACCGAGCGAATTACCCCCAAACTCGCGCAAACGGCCGGTCTCCAGATCCCTCTATCCTCTGTCACCACCGAACTCGAACCAAACATTGGGTGGGTGTCGCACTAATCGTCAACTAAAACCTGCCACGATTCCAGCCAACACCTACAACACAAAGCGCGGCCGGGAGGGTGCAACCCGTTCACATCGAGAATGGCTGAAGGGCTGTCGAGATGTTGGGCGCCGGCAAAGTCTGAGACGGAAAAAGACGACAAGACGAAGCCACAGCGCCAGCGGAGAGACTGAGGGTAAAGGTGCATCGGTCGTCAGTGATGCGTCAAGTGTCAGTGCCGACTTGTCCAAGACCCTTTCGAGTTGCACCTCTGAAGTCCTCCTAAATCATGACGATAGTACTGGCACTCATAGACCAAGCCCTACAATCCAGCCAACATGTGAAAAGGAGCCAGATGCGGCGCTCCTCCGGCGTCGTGCTTTGAAGAAGCAGGAGGAACAAGAAAGGAAAAGAGCATCCGAGAAGTACCAAGAAACTGGAGATATGTCGGTGTTTGAGCCGTTCATGGCTCCCTTCTTTGATGGGCCCGATAGACCCGATCTTGGGTCATGGGTCTGGGATGCGTCAGTGGAGAGGTTTCGACGGGAGCACAAATTGAACGGGAGGATAGTCTGGGCGCCAACGGATGATTCTTTTATCTGAACTCTTTCCGAGGTACACTGACCGACCGTCATCACTTGCTCTTTCGTTTCCTTCAACCGCCTCCCCTTACCCGTCTTTGTTAGCCATGCCTTTTCGTGACCAAACTAGGTCTGTAATGTTAATATAGCACTCCCCTCAAGAATGTGGGCAATCCCAGGCACCCAGTCCCATCCCGTCTCTTTTGTATACTCTTCAGATACTTCCTTCATCGGCGTACCATCTATAATAGCTCAGATACTTTCATTTGTCCAATTTAATTTCGGCGCATATGGTCAGCACAGCAGGTCGGATTTGGCAGGCTCAGAAGCTCCTCCATAGATGTGATTCGGATATCATCTTCAGCACCTTGAGAACCTGAAATGCTTTTGGTGAATGCTCTGTCCTGTTTGCAACTATTCGGAAGTAAACAATCCCCCCTTTCTCCGCCAGTGGGATGCCTGGCCTTCCTACACTAAAGGACAGCGCCCCCTTGCCCCGACTACCGCATGCACTCGCGAAGATTAAATCTGGGCTAAGCCTAAAACAAGGATACGCACTGACTGCTTAACGGCCAGTGCACGAATTTCCCTCCTTCTCAGCTATCGGTACGTACCTTCATACCCCTGTATTATGCTTAGCCCAGATTCAATCTTCGCGAGTGTAAGCGGTAATGTGACTACACAGCCCCGAGAACACAAAGTTCTCCTGATTGGCGCAAGGCATTAAGTACAAAAGGATAATAAAAAGGAGCTAGCCCTTTTCCGAGCAAGAGGATGACGCCCCGATGGCAATATCGAGTGTATACGAAAGAAAAAGTATATAGTCCCAGCATCATAATAAGTTTAAACTTGATAACGAATGTATTTACTTGCTTCAGATTTATGGTATCAGGATATGGAATCTTCTCTTGAAGAAGAGCAGTAAAAAGAATACATAAAAGCAAAAACATCGGGCTCAATCGGGATTCGAACCCGAGACCTCGCACATCAATGTTACCTGTATGACGGGTAATGGGAATAATTCGAGAAGAATTAATCACCCGAAGCGCGAATCATACCACTAGACCATTGAGCCACTCATTCGATCTGATTGGTGAGAGCGGGCCGCGGTTTTAGGGCCTAAGAACCAACTGTAAGGCAGAAAGTGGGTCTCAATGTTTTGACTTTCGCTGTCTTTGACTTGTCCTTCAAGCGCTGTCCTTCAGTGGACGATAGTGAGAAGTGGATACGTCAGGCGTGTCAAACCGCCTGTAAAGTGGGTATGTATGCTATTACGGATACATGGACATGTAACCGTTTAGGCGTATTATGGTCAGAAATACGGTGCGTTGCTGCTTGTATATTTCATGTATCCGTACCAGATCTAATACGGGTACGGCTGGAGAGGGCCCTGCCCTGTGAATATCAGCAATCTTCGCTAAATAAGAAATAATAAGGAGAAGAACTCAGGGGAGTTTAAAGAACTGATTTGGTAACAAGTAGTGTATGATCTGTCAAATACGCCTTCTTTCAGTTCGACCTGGATGTATGTATAGACAGTATTCTGAAATACACGACAGGAAAGACACCTGATTGCGGATGAGCAGGCTTCAAGAACATCAAGTTCTTAATATTCTCAGCTGGTCCCCTGGAGTATGTTGACTCGCCCCTTTTGCCCCTGTCCATCCCAATGACAACAGGCCCCTTATCCTCCCTTGCTTCAATCCAGCGAAGACGCCAAGATCCCCTTGGCCTCCTCACTTCTCCACCAACTCCCATCTTCTCCAGGGAACTCGTACTGATCCATGCTCTCGGCCTTCATCTCAACACTATACCCAGCTTCCATTGGAGTCCGATAATAACCGCCTTCATTCACCACAGCAGGATGCAAGAAGTGCTCATGCAAATGGTCGACATACTCGAGGACCGACTTCTTGCCGCTGACCACGACATAATCGATCGTGCTCAGGTGCTGCGTATACTCTGGCAGGCCGACTCCTCCCGAATGCGGCACGATAGGCACGTTGAACTTCTTGGCCATCAATAGCACGGCCAGCACCTCGTTCAATCCTCCCAATCGACATGCGTCGACCTGGCAGACATTAATAGCTCCGCTCATGAGGAGCTGCTTGAAGACCACCCGGTTCTGACACATCTCTCCCGTGGCAACACCAATCCCATACGGCTTGAGAGCTTCCCTAACAGCCTTATGTCCCAGGATATCGTCAGGCGAGGTCGGCTCCTCGATAAACCACGGTTTGAACTCTGCCAATTCCTTCATGTATTCTATCGCCTCAGGGACAGACCATACCTGGTTAGCGTCGACCATGAGGACATTACCCTTGTCATACCCAATAACCTCTCTGGCAAGGGCAAGCCGTCGCTTGTCTTGCTCCAGGTTACTCCCAACCTTGACCTTGAAATGCCTGTACCCCTTGGAAAGCGTCTCCCTGAGCAGACTCTTCATCTTATCCTCCGAATAGCCAAGCCACCCAGCGCTGGTGGTATACGCAGGAACAGCCCTCGACTCCTCCGCCTCTTTGATCCTCTCACTTTTCCCATTATTCCCAGAAACTTGCGTCTCTTTAAGCAAAGCAATCGCCTCCTCCGGGGTGATGGCATCAGTGATGTACCGAAAGTCAATACAAGACACGACCTCTTCAGGCGTCATATCCGCCACGACCCGCCAGACAGGTTTGTCCAACGTCTTGGCCCACAGATCCCACAGGGCATTGACCACTGCCCCCAGCGCTAGATGAATCACGCCCTTTTCCGGGCCGATCCAGCGGAGCTGGCAGTCGTTGACCAGATGTCGCCAGGTCTTGCCCCAGTTGGTGCCGACTAGGCTGGATAATGTCTTGTTCTGGAGACGTGCTGCGAGGTAGTTGATTGCGTGGCAGACTATATCGTTTCCTCGGCCGATTGTGAAGGTCTTTTTTGTTTAGTGGCAAGGCAAACCCGTCCCTGTTTGTCAGCCAACAGCACTGGTCGTGAACAGGAAAAAGAAAATGCGGCTATGGTGGTGTGTGATAATGCAAGGAAAATCTCGTACCATTCCATGACCGGTATAATGTGCCGAATCGGTTTGCAAGATGCAATAGGCGGCAGAGTAGTCACCCGTCTCGTTCATCGCATCCGAGCCCGTCTTGTCCAGCGAGGTGGGAAACCGCACATCTCGTGTCGACCATCCTGTTATCGTGATGTCCCCCATCGTTGTGTAGTCGTATTATATCGAGCTAACGATGCAGGCACGGTAGGTAGGTAGCTGTCTGTAGAGCGTTTTTAAAGAAAAAGTCTGAGGAAGTGGGCTGGTGCAAGCTATCCAAAAGCGTGTGCAGTGAGTGAAATAGAATCCAAGACAAAGAGCAAGACAATAAGGTAGAAGAGAACATCAAGAACGGGCAGGCAGGAGAGAGTTGGGCAACTGCAGTGACAGGTGCGCAATCTAGGGTTTTGTGAGACCCAGCCCAGCCCAGCACTTTGAACAGTTGAGAGCAACTGGATCAATTATATTGGGCCTATTACTTGCACCCCCCTTGTAACCTGATCTGAAGCCATTCCCGCATGGCCACGTCCGATACAGGCCCGCACAGAAGAAATCCAGGGAAAGAACCTGAGTGGAGGACCATGGGCGCAACATCCGACGGCCCGGCACAAGACCCGCTCATGATTGATGGATAATTCCGACCTTTTTCTTGTCTGGCGTTTCATGACGATTGCACCTCCTCTAGCGTTGGTATTTTGTGGAGTGTTATGAGGGGGGTGAAATGAGGCATTGTGTGTGGTGGTGGCGATTTGTAGTCAAACCCTCACCCAACTCGGAGGATTTATGCCCGAGCTAGGTAGGTCCAACCAGGAACGAATGGTAATTTGGGGCAGAGAGGCACAAGCATGCCGGTAATCGGCCGCCCGCTAAAAGTGGGGAGTCACCGGGAATCCGGAATACGAGCGGCTCAACGGCCGGCTCCGAGACACCGGAGCTGATCTTCAAGTGTTTGTCCAAAACAGATGTTTTCTGGTTTTTGTTAGATATAAGATTAGAAAATCAGACTTCCCTTCACCCATTTCTGCCTGGATTCCTACACGAGACATGCGATAACCTAAAGATTACATGACATATCTTTAAGTTCGTTAGCAAATAAAAAGAAAATGGTTCAAGATTAAAAAGGTATTAATTTGTGATTGTTTTTCCTTGCGTCAGCCGCGAATCGAACGCGGGGCCCATCGATGGCAACGATGGATTTTACCACTAAACCACTGACGCTTTCCTTGTGTGTTCTTGGCTGAGTGGGCTGGATCTTTTGTATGGAGTATCCCCCGGGTAGCTGCCTCGATGTGTCTGCTGGCGGGGTGGGTTATGGGGCCCAAGTGGGCATGCTGCGGGCGAGTGGATATCGCTACGCTCCTGTTGCTTAAGCAACAAGATTCATGGGCCAAGGGGCATTGTAAACATAGGTCCAGCGAGTTGCGAAGGGGACAGGCTGTATCGGTTGGATGTTTACACAAGAAGCTATCAACACACGACTATGAGACCAAAACCATAATCTATCATAGCAAGAGATATATATGTACTGGAAGGCGAATAAAATGGGGGGATTGTGTGAAACTTTGACGCAGATAAAGGAACAGCCGAGGTATATCCAAAGATACATAAATAACAGACCAAAGACTCATTACAGCTGATGAAATTTCCAGACCCCTTTACACTCTTGATCAGTACCACAATAGAATCAACGGTAGAATTTGCTCGCCACCGGCCGGATCGCGATGGGCAACCTTGTCACATTTCCCAAACGGGGGAATTGCGACTTTTCGGTGTTGGGCGTGTATTCGATGGCTTGCAACTCGACCTTCAGGCTTGGGACTGTATTCACGGGAACCTCAGTCTCGCCGTTCTGGGTAGAGAGTGAGTCAGTCAACTTGTCGCTCATGGTCCCCATCAATCCAAATGACCGTTAGGTGACAGACTTACATGTAATATCTCCACAGCTAGTCCTTGCTGCAGAACCGAGGTGGCTGCTTTCGAGTCAATGTTCACATCAACCAGGCCCGCAAGTCTTGGATCTTGAATCGTCACGCTGGTTGACACATTCCCATACGACGGCATGGCCAAAAGCGCCAGACTTCCTACGGTCGTGCCATTGATGACCAGGCCTACGACGGCTGGAAGTGGTATCTCTGCCCTGTCCAGCTGGACTTGGGCGACATAGTATTGTTGCGTGTCGACCAAACCTGACGCCTCGCTAGGGTGTTTCTGTGGGTATGGAAATGATTTCGTCCGATCGTAGGTGCTGTTTGGTCCGTACAACATGTTCACCTGTGTAATAACAAAAGCGCGGGACTGATCTGGCGAAGTATCCCAGTCGTAGATCTCCGGATACGTGTATCCAAAGGTGCTGATGTTCGTCACCAGGTCGCTGGTATGGAATGTGAGAGGGTCGGCACGAAAAGGCTTTAGAGGGCTGTCTCGCGTGATCTTGGAACCCCCGGGGGTGCCAAACTGTCCGTAGGAAGTACTTGTCCTCTCAAACATGGTGTCCTTGTAGTTTATTGCTTGCCACATGGCAAACAGCCGATCAACATTGCAGTGATGCAGCATGCTAGCGAAATGGTCAAAATGCTGGTCTAGACACCCTTGAATGGAAGCCAATACTCACAACAGTGGATCAAACGCCGACAGAACAATATCGGCCATGGTACCTCCACATCCAACAGTAGTATGAACCGTACTGTGAGGGTCTTCGAAGTTGGGCCCGCCGCAATCAGTGCACGCCACGTCTTCAAACCTGGTGGATCTAATGAAAGCGTCGTACTACTTCGCAGGTCAGTCGAGAACTAACCGCATGGGGCCCATGGGATAGGACTCTGGCACAGAATCGGCGACATTTGATAAGAATAGTAATACATACCACCGAAGTTTTCAGTTTGAAGCCCACGGTCATCATGCTTAGATTTGACTTGGTCATGTTATTGACCGACCCATCAGTGCCCATGCACCGTGATGTTTCCTGATAAGTTGAAAGCTGCCCGCCCCAACTCGAAGGGACAGGATTTTGGAAACGGTAGCTATAGAGTGGGTTCCTTATTGTCGTCGGC